CACATGACATCCTTGTCTATAATTTGGAGAGTCATGGGTTTGACAGATGGACCACTCCAAAGAATTGGCTGGATGGTCTCACTCAAAGAGTTGTGGTCAATGGCTTGATGTCCAAGTGGAGAGCAGTGACAAGTGACATTCCTCGGGGCTTGGTATTGGGAGCAGAGCTTTTTAACATCTTTGTTGACAACATGGACAGTGAGGGATTGAGTGTACCCTCAGCAAGCTCGCTGACAACACGAAACTGTATGGTGGGGTCAACATGCTGGAGGGAAGGGATGCCATCCAGAGGGACCTAGACAGGCAGGAGAGGTGAACCCATGTGAACCTCATGAAGTTCAACAAGGCCAAGTACAAGGTCCTGAACATGAGTCAGCAAAATCCCAAACACAAATACAGCCTGGGCGATGAGTGGATTGAGAGCAGCGCTGCAGAGAAGGACAGGGGGATTAGTGGATGCAAAACTGACTGAGGCAGCAATGTGTGTTCACAGCCCAGAAAGCCAACTTTATCCTGGGCTGCATCAAGAGAAGTGTGGACACCAGGTCAAGGGAGCTGATTCTCTGCTCTGCTCTGGTGAGACCCCACCTGTAGTCCTGTGTTGAGCTCTGGGGCCCCCGACATAAGAAGGACATGGACCTGCTCGAGCAGGTCCAGAGGAGGCCACAAAGGTGATCGTGAGCTGGAGTACCTCCCTTGTGAGGACAGGCTGAGAGAGTTGGGGTTGTTCTGCCTGGAGAAGAGAAGGCTCCAGGGAGACCTTATAGCAGCCTCCCAGTACTTAAAGGTGGCCTAAAGGGAGGGTGGGGAGGGACTCTTTACCAGGGAGCTTAGTGATTGGACAAGGGGTAATGGTTTTAAACTGAAAGAGGGTAGATTTAGATTAGAAATAGGGAAGAAATTTTTTACTGTGAGGGTGGTGAGATGCCCAGAGAAGCTGTAGCTTCCCCCTCCCTGGCGGTGTTCAAGGCCAGGCTGGACGGGGCTTTGAGCAACCTGGTCTGGTGGAAGGTGTCCCTACCCATGGCAGGGGGGTTGGAGCTAGATGATCTTTAAGGTCCCTTCCAATCCAAACCATTCTATGAAATTCCAAGAATGTGCAAAACACAACAAAAAGTTACAAGCAAATTCTCAGTTCCAGTATTTATAGGCAATTATTTGGCTGAAATGCTACCCCAGAAGAGTTACATGATGTGCTCTTTCTAAGTATCAGTAGAAAGAAAGTCAAAGTTGACATACTTTTGGACAGTAAAGTTTTCTTTAAATAGACATTATCTTTCTAACTAGTCTAATTGTTTTCTCAGTTATTGTTTCACATAAATTTTACAGTGTTTGGGTTTTTTTTTTCAAGACCTGAAACATCAGTGTAATTCCTTCTTCTCTAAGTTTCTAGGGCTGTTTTATGACTGGGAACCATGGGATAGCAGAAAGTGACCTGTTTGTTGAATTTATATTAAGTAGCTTCTAGTCATCTTCCTGTAAACATTATTAGAATTGGATTGATAGCTTTATATGATGGACTTATGGCAAATTTTTCATACAGTTGTAGTTTTTTTCTTCAATTTATGTTGCTTAACGCTTCTACCAGCTGAAGCTATTTGCTATGTCTTTCAGGCAATTTTGTTGTTTTGGATGGTTGGTTCCTTTGCTAAGCTCTCCATTAGCTCCCGGAGTATTTTCTATGGCATTTCTGAGTTCATGAATGAGGTAGCTTTGGTGCTTTCATTTAAAGGAGTGCTCTTTATAGACAGTCTTGGGCAGTGTCTGAAAAAACATCTTTTGTTTAGGCAATGCAAGCACAGTTCAATGCCTTCTCTGTTTTTTTGTTTCCACGTCAGTGGCAAATTGTTCTTGAAATGATTTCCATCTCTCCATACCCCCCGCCTTGCCCCCCAGTTGATTACTACTTTGAAAATACAGCTACTTCTTTCATGTTGTATTTTACTTCAGAGTGTCCTCATTCTAGTTGTTACCTTAATTTTTTTTCTGACAAGTTGAATGGATCTGTAGTGCGTCTCCAACATAAATATGTTGTTGTTCAGCTGTAGTACTTACATTCCCATGTAAAAAAAAAAAATTCTAACAATAATATTTAAACAAAGATACTTCTCTGGAAAAAGGATACCTATACTGTATTTTCAGGAATACTTAGATTTTGGAGTTACAGTGAGTACAGAAAATAACCAGAGTTATCAATGCTTCGTTCAGGACAGAGGAGTATCTTTATTCAGCATGTAGAATATATGGCATGTGCTGTTTGAGCATTAATGTTTCAGTCAGGGCCATACTGGTTTTGTCTAAAGCATTATGCTTAACAGAACTTAGTCTAGTCTAAAGTTGCATTCAAATTTAGATTAATTGAGGGGTACCTCCTTGTACCTAGAACAGTATGGTCCTGGTCCCAGATTAGGATTGCTGGTTGCTTCTGACTCTGAAATAATAAACAGTAATGTATTTGTTTCTATTAGGTGTTTGATCAGCTATGTCATTTCTGAGGCTTTAGATATCTGCCTGTCCCTTATGGGAAGTACTGCCTGTGATTTATACATGGTAATTGACAACTTGACAGCATTTTTGTGGAGTAGTTACCTTTTTTTATTTTTTTGATGTATTGGGTTTGACCCATCAGATTTTATTGCTAGCTTGCCATTTTTCTTAATTATCTCAGATCCTTTAAACACTGAAAACCAAAGAGCTTTATATTAATTTTTTTTTTTAAGTTTTAATCCAGATAAGTCCAATTTCATTTATATCCTCAGCTGTTCCTATAGGAAATAGCACACCATCGAAGTTTTATCATATAACAGAAATATATGATAAGATTTATTTGTGGAGTCAATGATGATTGGATTTTAAATGTGCAAATCACAGTACTTCATGCAAGCATTTTTCTGCAGTATGTTTTTACTGATGCCATTTCTATACGGTGCACTATTATAGGAATAGCCTGGCTGAAAAAGTTAGGTTGAATGTGTGAGCATTTAAAAAATTAATGATTTCTAGATTCATTAAAAAATTATCATGTTGTCTTTGAGTGAAGAGAACCTTGGTGTCCAGTAGTTTACATCCACAGAGGTTCTTAACTACTGCTTTTATATTTTAAAATAGTATGTTTACATTGGCAGAAACAACTGTAATCTTTCCACTTGGTAATGTGTCTCTTTTATCCTCGTGCCCAAAATTATGTCCCCTATTTAGGAAAAATAGGTTGTATGTACTTAGTCCCTTTTACACATCCAGTTCAACTCTTACTGAAGTAGATCTTAGCTCTTCAGTGACTAGTGAAGGTAAAGACAGACTGTCAGAAACTCCTGACTCCTAGTTTCCCAATGATGAGTATTTTGTTTATGGCAGCAACTTTCATAATTTGGAAATTGGCAAGCTTTTAATAAACTTTGGCAAATATGTGATGAAACTTTCAAAAATGTAGTGATGTTATCCAGAGGCAGCAAAGTGTAGTCAAGAAAAGTAGGTATCAGTGTGCCATTGATCATGATTTTAACGTGTTTCATTACTTCTGCCCAGTATAGTTATGGAAGAAAAGGACATAGTGTAAGAAGATCTATATTGTCTTTGAGGATAAAGTACTTATGTTCAGAAGCTGTAATACTGCAAAGAGAGAGAAGTTCTGGGAAAAACTGAGTACAGGCATTTTTGATTTTCATGTGTTCTTTGCTGGCTATGGAGCAAACATTGATACTCTGGGGTTCTCTGACAGTGAATGAGGAAATGAAGGAATTTTATTGCTATCAGATGACACACCACATAATAACTTAACGGACATTGAACACCTCTTGGCAACAACTAGTTGCAACATAGTTTACTAAATATTTAAGCCACTGCAACAGTGAAATACTTCTACCATTTCTCAATTAGCTCTCCCACCCTCACAGTATGTTGCAATGCTCAAGAATGGATGAATAGCTTAAGTATGCCAATAGAGAAATATTTGACCTAAACCCCTGTTTTTTGAATCATTGCCTTGTGAATTGTATCTGGGTTTATTATAAGAATTTAAATATTAATATTTAAAATGTGCTTTTTATGTCTTCTTTTACATGAACTTTATTAAAGGATAGAGTACCTGAAAATCAAAAGAGATAATGTGAGTTTTAAGATGACTGGGCATTAAGAGTAAGTGCTGGGAGAAGATTAATAGGTCAGAAATGGGTCAGGTTTTTGTTAAAAACTAGCATTGCTCAGAAGTGAGTGATGGCTGGCATACTGAACAGAGAACCATGTTCTTAAATATAATGCTGGGGGAGGGTGGTGGTGGTATTTATATTTTATAAGCTATAACCAAGCAGAGAAAAAGACTGAAAAGGACTGTGAAAACCATTACAGTGGAGAAAAAAAGTTGATTTCCCAACTTCAGTCAAGATGATGTGAACTTGCAAAAGATAGATAAAGTGAAGGCAGAAATACATATCTAGAATTTGTTCTTTGACTTGAACTGCTATTCCCCTTTCCATTTGGAAGTAAGGAGCTCTTAACATTTGTAACCAGCAGCATTATACTCTGAGGCACATCTTCTGAATTCTACCTAGCAAATGCTTACCTGTGCTGATTTTTTTTTTCATCTTATTTTGGCTATGAGAAAAAAAATATTTTCAGTTATTTATGCATCATATAAATTTACAGATTACAAACATGTAAAAATAAATGTTGGAAAGCTTGCCATTTTTCTAGTTGTAGCAGTTTATCCAATAAAAGATGTTACCTTATAAGCCTTGTCTCACAAGTGAAATTCCTGTTCATTTATACCTAAATGTTTCATATGCAGTAGTCCTAGGAAAGATTAACTCTCCAAAGAGTTCAGGGCTAAATGAATAAAATAGCTATGATTTTAGGTTTCTGAAAGTCAAGAAAAGTTTTGAGAGTGTGGAGTTTTGTTTTGATTTAAATTATTAATAACGGTTAACAATTAAAACTTTTCAGGGTATTTTTGACTGGTAGTTACAAATGACTGTGGCATTACTTTGGAGAAATGTAAAATAAACATGTTGTCTTATACTCCGGATAAAGTGGCTGTGAATCGTGATGGAGGCCTGTCTCACCAAGCATGTATGCTCTGTGGCTGATCTAGGGGCCATTTTCTTGGTTCACTTGGTCTTATGGTAGAACCGAGAGATCCTACTTTGTTGAACATTGCATAAATCCATACTACTTGGGTTACTACTCTGTCTTTTCTAGTTAGTAATATACATTGCTTAAAGAGAAGAGAAATTAAATCCTCATCTCTATTTGTACATTGGCAATTGAAAGAAAGAAGTAATAAGTGAGTTGCCTGAGGTCCTATGGTGTGAACTAGAATTATTGTTGTCTAAAACCAAGCCCATATTGATTCCCAATCCAGTTGTCATCTCTCAGCTGCAATTCTCTCAAGTTTCTCTTCTGGCATATTGGAGCTGTTCAACTGTATCAGAGAGATATGTCATTTGTGATTGGAAAGTTTTTGATTTTTATGAAGTGAGCTGAATCAAATAAAAAAAAAATTAAAAAGGAATAGAAGAGAAAAAATATTGAAAATGAGAAAAGACCATTACTGTATCACCCTCCAGTAAGTCAATTAGTTCTTGAAAGGCTTCATAAAAATATTTGTATTTATCTGGAAAGAGAGGTTTTCTGGTGGGTTTTTTGGTGGTGTGGTGGGTTTTTTTGTTGTTGTTGTTTGTTTTTTTTTTTTACCCAGAATGATGAGTGTTGTTATTTATTTTTCACACTTGTTCAGAAGCCATAGAATCATGGAATAGCTTGGGTTGGAAGGGATCTTCAAGATCATCTAGTTCCAACCCTCCTGGCATGGTCAGGGACACCTTCCACTAGACCAGGTTACTCAAAGCTCCATCCAACCTGCCCTTGAAAACTGCCAGGGGGAGCATCTGCAGCCTCTCTGGGCAACCTGTTCCAGTGTCTCACCACCCTCACAGTAAAAAATTTCTTCCTTATTTCTAATCTAAATCTACCCTCTGTCAGTTTAAAACCATTACCCCTCATCCGATCACTACTCTCCCTGATAAAGAGTCCCTCCCCACCTTCCCTGTAGGCACCCTTTAAGTACTGGGAGGCTGCTGTAAGGTCTCCCTGGAACCTTCTCCAGGCTGAACAACCCCAACTCTCTCAGCCTGTCCTCATAAGGGACATGCTCCAGCCCCCTTATCATCTTTGTGGCCTCCTCTGGACCCACTTAAGCAGGTCCATGTCCTTATGCCTGGGGACCCCAGAGCTGGAGCTGAAGCCATTGGTCTTTATTTAATCACTGCTTTATGCTGACTCAGTTTGCTGAGTTTTTGCTTCATTTACTCAGATATTTTTTTAGTTGTGTTGCTGTTATGGAGGTAGACCAAAGTGTCTTCACACAGAAAATAAACTTGAACAAACTTTAGTTTGTAACCAAATCCAAGCAGCCAAAACCAGCAAGACAACAGTGGTAACCAATAACCTTTATGAAACTCTAGGTTCAGTGTATGAGCTGGGTAAGTTATTACTATATAGCAACACTGAGGGATAGCACATAAGAATGATGGCTCCAAAGTGTGCACACACTCACTCACTTGAAGGGGAAGCCTCTCAGTCAAGGGTACCCAGAAGATGTACAAACTCACCCAGAGGGGTTTAGGGCTCACTCAAAGATATGCAGAAGTATTCACTTACCAAGGGGAAGGTGAGGGCATTCAATCCTGGGAAGTTTCCTTGGGTCATGTCCCAGTCCCAGGGGAGGGCTTCTGATTGCAGGCCCTCTGCTCTGAGGAGCACCACTCCAAGGGGTCTCCAGTGGGGTCACTGTTTTATAGCCTGGTTGGCTCTAAACTGTGATCATAAATGGTCGGCGTTCTACAAACCTCTCGACTGAGGCATTTTGTTGGCTGAGGGCCTCATCTGTCGACCAGGAGTCCCACCTCCATTTTCCCATCATGGGGTGCAGGTGGTGTATGATGGCCTGTACCCAGCCAGGTTGTGTACATGACAGCAACCATGGTGTGCTGACACAGGTGAGAAAGTAAGGGTGTGAAAGAGCTGGCGGTGGCCATGGTAAAAGCCCTAAGCCCCTGGTGGGGGTGGGTGTGCTCCTGCCACAGCTATGCATTGCCTTACCATGTGTGGTAGCATTATTGCATTATTAGAATTCAAAAATACTGGCTTTGGTGCCCAGTCCTGCACAGTGTATGGAAAAGAGCATGAGCTTCAGGTTCATTGAAAAGTATCAAGGCTGTGTATGCCAGGAAATATTTTAGGGTCAAGTATATTATTACTTGTGCTGCTGCAGACTTAATGTATTGACAGGCTAAGATGCTATTTATAGCTGCTTCTTTGAAAATGTAGTAAATATTTCTTCTGCAAATTGTGACATACAGTAGTTAGTTTGACTGTTTGCATTAGGTAATTGCTTCCTGAGCCTGAATTTAGATCTAATAGTAAAGCTAGACAGATGCTGAATGCTTTTATTTCTCCCATTCTTTTGCAAATTTAAAATAACAGTCAGTAGATACTTTCTTTAATGTTGTTTATTGTGGCTAATGATGTGGGGGTTTTTTTTTAGAGCATGCTAGTGAAAGCATCTGTCAACTGAAATACGCCTTGGAGGAAAGACAGTTTGCAAAGGGTGAGGATGAAGTTGGATTTGACCAGTCCTCTGTCAACAGGTACAATGTTGACAGTGGGCACTGTCAGAACCAGCAGGAACAGCAGCACAGTCATGCAGGTAAGATTATGCTGAAAGCAATAAGTTTAAAAATTGTTAGAAATTATACTAATTTCAGTGAAAAAAAAATTGTTTATAATATTTGTATCTCTTCCTAGTTAATCAACTTAAAATTTTATTGCAACATCAAGAAAGAACGGAAAGTGAAGTCTCTCTGTCAAGGAGGAAGATGTCGTTCTCTGTATGTTTTTTCTTGGATTTTTTGTGTTGTTTGAATCAATGTCGTGCATGATGAGATCAATTTTCTAGTATCCAGGAAGAAAAACAATGACCAAATATTTTTTTTTAATTTTGAAATATAGGAGAGTCTCGAGGCTATGGCCAGAATTGGTATGTTATGACTATAGCAGAAGAAAAAGAAATCTATAATACAGGATTTAGAGTTCTCTTTTGTTAACCATGCAGTGTGGGTTGCAGTCCACAATGCTTTCAGCTTTCTCATCTTTTACTTTCCACCAAAAGTTCATCATTTATGTTTTGGAAACAGTTGGGATGAACTATATGGACAAATTTCTGTAAAAGCAGCCTCTGTTTTCCATTGATTGTACTTTAGTATTCTCAAAGGCCTTTTTATGCTGAAACTATGTTCTTTATTTAGAGGATTAGAGATATTCATGTAACAACAGGTGTTGTAGCTCTGCCAAAATGCAGTGGTCTCTGTCAAAGTTAGTTTACATACTTAGATGGGCTTCTCAGATTTATCCTTCTTGCAGCAGAACTGCACCAAGTATACATGCAATGCACAGTTCAGTTACAGAGCAACTACTAGATACTAGTATCCCTATAGGAAAATAATTCAAAGGCACTGTTCCAGTTTTATCTTTTGGTGGCTTCCACTGACTCTTTTTGGCTTATACTAAGCAAGACAAACAGTTCTTTGCTGTCAAAGCTGAGGTAGCAGCAGAACAATCAAAGGCCTATATTCTTGCTGTTTTGCTTTGAGCCTGTGTCATGACCCTAGCTCTACTGTTCTGACACTGAGAAACTATTTAAAGTTCAACTTTTCTGAGTTTTCTAAAATCTGTGAGTCTGATTGTCCTGCCAGGTACCTTTGCCTCATAATGGTGCAGGATAGAATTAGTGTTTTGTAGCTCAAGGGAACGGTGCATCGTGGGTTGATCTTTACATGACATGAATCGGTATCAATTTGTATTTAGCCTTTGGAGGGGAGAGGAAGCATCTTTTAATCTATCTTTGACAAATTTTTCTACTTGTATTGGAGAACTTCTAGTAGAGCGGAAAAATTCAGAAAATTGATAGTTTTTCTAAGAAACATATGATAGTGCTTTCAGGGAGTGAATTAAAGGATGGAGGAATAAACAGGTGGGAATTTACTGTATTGATAGGGCATTGTCCCAATTTTTCCTCTTGGATGTTTCCAATGAGAGGGATTCTGTGAAGTGGTGGCCTTGCTCTCCTTTTCAACTGTTCTCCATCTGCTTGCTAACCAGGATATGATTGTGTTTTGAAGACAGCTCAATTTGTAAAGCTCAAAAAATGTGGAAGTACAAAAGTGCACACACCAAAAACCCCCAAACCCTTATAAAATACGATCTTGTCTGATGGTTTGCTGGACACTGCAAAAATGCTTCTTGTATAACAAGAATCAGATTCCCCAAAGATCAAGGAAAACAAGCTTAGATTATGAGTAACCTTAACCTTTTGCTTTGAATTATGCTAAAATACCTGATGACTGCATGTGTCTATAGGTAAATGAAATATTTCACAGAAGCTATACTGTTTAGTAAATTTTACATTTCATATGTATAAATAACATTGTCTTAACAAAATTCCCATATCTTGCTCACTGATAAAAGTTGTAAGAGACATCAAACGCATACGTCTTTTTTTTTTATTACACCCAGATGGTTGGGCAGAGATTTTCCTTTTGCTCTCTACCTCATCACCTGAGGTCAAGGATCAGCAAGATTGCTTCATACAACTGCAGTTCTACAAGCCAGCTCTTGGCAGACCTAACTGCATCCAGCCTGGCTTCCTGACACTGTTCTTATAGCTGGAGTTCCTGTGACCGATTCTCATTGTTTCTTGCCAGTTTACAGGGCAGCAGATTACAGTTTACAGACTGCTAGCAGGAATGTCTCTAATTCTGGTGTTTAGAGGTTTGGAATTTGAGGCTTTCTGGAAAAGTACAAGGTGGGCCAAATTATTTGGGATGTTGGCAAAGCTATTTGTCACCATGTAGAATACTGGCCTCTAAAACTGCCAAGCATTTGTATTGTTTAAATCCTTGTGTTTATATGGTAAGCTTTTCAATATTAAGAATGCAAATGTGAATAGCATTTCTGAGACTCAGGCATAAACATTTGGTAATTCATACTGATCAGATGTGTCTTTCAGTTCTGATTTTAATATTTGGCCTACTTTAAATATATGCCTTCCCAACCTTTGTTCTTTCACCCTATAACATGTTAAAATTAATCACAATTCCCAAATTATTTTATAATTAATTGATAACAAGTATGTAGTAAAAAAAGGTAAAAATAGATCACAAACGATCTACCAGGTATTCACCCCATGAAATGGCACACAGAGGCTTCTAAATAAAGAAATATCCCAGTGGCAGTGCTGTGAGTTAATAAGTTGTGTTAAGAAATCCACTGTTCTTTTTCTGTTGGGAAAATATATTGTATTATATATTATTTTTCTTTCAGTAAAACTATTTTGCACTTTTGTATATATTATACCAATATTTCTCAAGTTTCTCAGGTTAAACATTAGCACTGTCTTTCAGTGAAAAGTAATTTGAATAGAAGTGGAGTTTTTCACATTTTTCAAACACAGCTGTGGTGTAATCTTTTCAGTGAGGAAGCTGAAGGTCTCAGCCGCAAGGTGTCTATTACACTTTCAGAAAAGAGGGAAGGATGAATAGGAGACAGAGGAACAGAACAACGAATTACAAATATTATTCACTCTGTATTATATTTTTAAATTTTTTAAAATTTTATAAAGTAGTTGAGATTAACAGACTCTAAAGCAAGGTGAATTCTGAGTCAATAGAACATGGAACTTACATGCACTGAGGCAGGTGGAATACATTGCAAATTCAGTCTCTTCTCTAGATGTTTTTCTGGATGGTTCTGCAAAACCCTCCATTTTTCTCTGCAGTCGTAGTTCCAGATTTCTCAAGAGTCATCTCCCTTTAATATGGCAAATACTTACATTGTGTGTAATTTGACAGGAAGGCTTTTTTTGCTAGAAACCTTCTCCTCACCCTGGTTAGTAGATTTTATCTTTAAAGGTTGGACAGAGAATCTTAATACCTTGTTGAGGAAAAAAAATTCAGTTATTGTCAAAACCTATAGATAAGATAACTAGTGGATGTAATAGCAATTAGTAGCAATTAGTAGCTTTGGATTTTGTGAATGGTGATTGTTTCAAAAAATCATATTATAGACAAAGATGTAGGTTTATGAATCTTTCAGGAGATTAAGGAGATTTAGGTGTACAACTGTTCAGTTAGGTCCTGAAAATTAGTTCTATGATCTTTAAGACTTTAAGTATATTTGAGAAGCATATTGTGGAATATATTTGCACAAAAAGGAGTGTTTCTGACCCGAGATCACAGATGTTAGAATTGTATCAGTTTCAAAACTAGCTAGGGATCATCATAAAGATGCTTGTTTTCATCCAGAATATTGAACTAATGCTAGAAATGTACTATTGTTCCTTTGAGAGGACCCCATTAACAACTCTGTGTGAATTTTGTATCTTACCAGGAAAGAATACAAACAAGGGAGATTTAACCTTTTATAGATGTGAGTAAAACTGTTCAGTAAATTGGTGAAAAATGCAGACGTCTTTTCTATAAGAGGATATATCTTCTCCTTAGAGACATGTCGCAGTTTGGTTGTCTTAATTATTTAAAAAAACTTCAAAACATTGAAAAAGGCTTGCATTGATATACTTTCTTTTAGGTTTAGGAATTAAAATAGTTCATATGTGTCTACTAGCATTAGACTGTACTTATTTCTTTCAGTGGATGAAATTTGCAATAGTGTGATATCAAAATAAGGTAGCAAAGCAATATTGAAATACATAAAGAGAATGAGTGAGGATCTCATAGTAGCTGATTTATTTAAATTTCAGAGTAGACACTCCATTAAATATTTTTGTGGTTATTCAAATGCAGTTTCATTGCAGACTAACATATTTATTCTTAGTACTGTTGCTCCATTAAAATGATTTTAAAGATTTTTATATTTCATTAGAACTAAATAAATTCTTATACTAGAAAAAATATTTGTTATGCTCTAAATAAGTCCTTATTAGATTGACACGAACTGTTTGTTGCTAATAGGATCAAAGAGAGGCTGTAGTTTTCAGGAAATTATTTAATTTATGATTTTAAGGGCATTTTAGTAGTATTTATTTACATTCTTTAACTGTACTGTATTCTTAAGAGTAAATGCTATAAAGTTAGAGCAATTGTGTTTTTCACATTTTGTAAAAAGTTTAACCCCTGTTTAAATCTTGCTCAGCAAGGCAGAGATGTAATTGTTTATCTTGAATGGGCAACGATTCCCTTCATTACCTTCTTTAACTAGTTATTTGTGAGGCTGTCAAAAATTTTACCTATTTATAGGGTCTTTGGAAAGGTTTTTTGGAATTTTCTTTTAAAATACTATTAAAGTTCTTTGATAAACATCATATCTATTACACATTTTCCTGTGTTTCTATGGAGGTATTAAAATTGCAGACATTGTGTTTCTGCAGCAATTGTTAATGAACATTTAGAGGAGTTGTCTTTGCACACCCATAACTCATTGAAATTCAAGGGATTTTTGTATTAATTTCACAGAGAAGAAAATACCCCCTTATGTTTGTTTAAAATGGATGATACACTTTAAATAGCAGTATGAATTTTGTTTACAAATAAGTTTGTGGGTATGATTTAATCCTGCTTTATAGATATGCTTAATCAAGCAGCTGTATGTTTCGACAGAAGTGACATATTTACTTTTTGTATTGAGGAATTTATGTTCTGACTGTTTCTCCTCTCCTCATGATCTCATACTTGATGACTTTTTATTAAGTGTGTATAGTATTCTATGTGCAAACAACATCTTATTACAGTAAATGGAAAACCAGAAAATAACACATGCTATTCTTTACTTCCTTCAGAAACTCCCAGAAGATGCCACTGGAGACTTACCAGCCTTTTCTGATCTCATTCCTATAATAAATGATCAGTCACAGTACATTAACCATTTAGAAGCAGAAGTGAAGTTTTGCAAGGTATTTCATATATTTCACCTACTAAAACTCTGGTCCCCTAAATATGGAGAATTGCTTTTAAAACAGCTTACACTTAGTTTTGAGATTGATTGTTGTAATGACCAAAACTGAGCCAAATGTAGTTCAGTAGATACTGAGCCTTACCATGCGTCTTGGTGCCTGTGTAGTGCTTAAGGGCCTTCAAAGATATTTTTATGTGCTGTCACAAATACAAATAAACATTTGTTTTTTTAAGAAGTTCTAGGGAAATTCAAGCTACAAAAATAAAAAATCTTTCTTCTGAGTTCTTATTCTCTCTAAAAGGGTTGAAATAGTTGAGAATATTTATCTAGACTTCTGGTCTCTAGATGTATTTAAATGTTGATAGTTGTTTCAGGGAGCCTTATACATGCAGTTCCTGTATCCTCTAGGAGGAATTGTCTGGGATGAAAGATAGAGTACAAGTAGTTGTACTTGAAAATGAGGAACTCCATCAGAAACTGAAATTCTTAACTGCGGAACATATGCTGAGAGAACAAACTCTTCTAGATGCCTCAGTAAGTTTTTATTCTTTCTGTTGTTTTAATCAGTGTTCAGGGACCTGATTCTTTTTAAGGAAGGCTAGATAAATGGTTATCCGCAAACTGAATTTTAGTCAAAATTTGATGAGAGTTTGTAATTATCATAAATATCATAGGTTGCTAACCTAATTAACTTGTTTATTGGTCCTTATATTCTACTGTAATAAAAACTATAAGATTCAGTACTTATTAACATTTGTTTTAAAAAAACAGCCTACATAATTATAACTGAAGCATTAATACTTTTATTTTAGGCAAATACTCAGAACTCCTGGCCTGTAGGTAGTAATGACTGTATCATGCATCAGCCTGTCACGTCATCACCAGCACATAACAAAGATCAGGCTTTTGTTACAGCAGCTGTTGCAGAAGTGGGAAAATGGCCTGTAGAACTGGTTGGTATTAACTTTCTTTTCAGAATCATAGCTTTGCAAAACCTTTCAGTGCTTTTGTTGTTGCTGAAGTTCTGATGATTAATTTTGTAACAGATATACATGAGGAGTTGTGATTGACTGAACTTTAATCTGAGGTCAAATTTTATTCTCTCAAACCTCATCTTCTCATTATACTCTAATTAATATTATTACCCAGTTGGACACAGATAACAGGTTGTATCTGCAGATGTTGACTTCCCAGAGAAGTCATTTGAAGAATGTCCTGTCAGTGACAATGTCCAGTACAGCGGCTCCACTGTACTTTGGAGATTCTTAGCAGTAACACAACACACAAGCAGGTGGGAACTAGCTGGTGTAATTTAGGTAGCCCTCCATGCAAACTCTTGCAATGAGTCTTTCTGCATTTGGAACAGCACAAGCTCAGTAAGGTACAAAAGTAGCTTTGTAAAGGCTGTTTTCCCTAAGCTGAATTACACGTTTCGTGCTTTTATAGATACAGAGGAGCCCTAGTGATTCAGAAATGATGTTGTAACTATCCTGTATTTTTAGTTTGGGAAGATATTCTTAACTTTTTTACTCTAAATTAATGGAGTGGCATTGCTTTCTTCATGTAAAAACATGGTTAATTGAATTTTTTTACTTTTTTTAATCCATGTGCTGTGGAATTTAAAAGGTAATTTTATTCTTCAAGATAATTGTATGTATTTATTAAGTTTTTCCTAGTAAAATATATTTTTGTGGGTTTGTGCATCATCTAGAACTGAAAACCTCTTCAGTGATTCCTAATGTCTGCAGTTGTTGGAAAGCTATTTTTTACAATAATTGCACTTTTACTTCATCTGCCCTATTTAAAACAAGAGAATAATATTGATTGTGACTTCTTTCTAAGCATAATAGTGAGCTAAATTTCTGTTTCTTTATCTGGTTTGTTATCACCATTGTATTTAAGACTGGTACGCTTGATGTATATACCTAGTTCTTCAGCAAGTAATAAGAGTAACTCACTGTATTATAAATAGCCTGTCTACTTGAAATTCTTCAGAATTCCTCTTCTATTTCTGCTGACTTGTGGGAGAGTAAGAGCAAACTCGAGACAAGATGATCAATTTGTGTAAATCATTGTAGAGGGATGCAGTTGGAGCTGAAGCACTTTACCATATGAAGATCTGGCAAGATGTGTAGATATAAGGAAATGGGAAAGTTGTTCCTTTTGTAGACTTTCACAAGTGTAAAATATTTAGATTTCTCTGACACTAGTTTTTGAGCAGGTTTATATCTTCAGGGGAAAAGTATGAATGTGGCTAGATTTATTGTCAAGACAATATTATGAATAAAGCAAAAGACACTTCTTTTCTCCCATCTTTTCTAAAGGAGAAACTAAAACTTCTTTATCAAGAAAAAGTCAATATCCTTGATGCTCAAATACAATCTTTAAGGTAAAGTGAATTATTTTTTTTTAAATTATTGTTAATTAATTATCACTTCATAACAACATGAACTGCTCTTAATTTGAATTTAAGTAAGAGAATGCCTCAATGTCTAAATATTGTGTTCTCCAAGTGTCCCTGAAAGCTGGTTTTATGTGATTTTTTCTCAAATATAAATGTAGCAATATATAAATTTTATAAATTCGAATGAATTATTGTATTTATAGAAATTACAACTTTAAAGAAACATCACATCTTTTAAGGTAGATCAATAAAAAAAAAAAGTTGTTAAAATTTTAACTTGTGTGAGCTCTTCCATGATTAGCTTTATTCTACTAATATTTTATATTGCAAGTTTTAAAAATCTCAAGCATTGTACTAGTTTAGGCCACATAATGATTCTGGAGCAGGAAAACATAGGTTTGAAGCATGCAGGCAGTGTTTCTAGTCATGTAACCTGCATATCTTTAAACTCAAAAATATTTGAAAATAAGTCTTCATGTACTCAAATTATTGAAGGTTTGAATAGGTAGCAAATTATGGAGAAAACAGAAGTATAGGCAAACACTTTAGGATCTGTTTTTTAGGAGTAAACTTTCCCCTGTACACTTGCATTCATGATACTGCTGCTGAATCTGTTTAATTACGTTTTTCTCTAAATCAATTGTGGTTTCATATATCTGAAAACTCTAAACTTCTGTGTGTGTGTGTGTGTGTGTGTGTGTGTGTGTGTAGAAAGAGTTACTGATAGGGAGACAAGTTTAAATATGCCCTCTGCAGTGGTTAAATCTTAAACATGCAAAGCCAATTGTGCTAGTGACAGTAAAGGGGGATCTTAAATTTTGGCTGTGTAATCCAATTTTAATTTCTTTTTTTTATTATTCCCCATTTGGCTTGAAATGTTATATATACTGAGAAATAAATATTGGAGGCTTAAATAGGCTGAAAATTTCCACAAGTACCTTATTTGACCTCTTGATTTTCCTAAGGGACATGATCTTTCAAACTGTAAGTTCTGCAATGCTCTTGAGTATTTGCTAAATTTTGATTAAACTGAGAAATTGTATTGCTTTCAGTGGGACTATCCTTGTTTGTAACTTTGAGCATGAATTTACATAGGACTCACTGATTTCTCTAAGATTTCCCAACAATAGGTCTGTTGTACCATGACTGTCTTAAGGATATATGCAGAGCAAATAGTGGATTATATTTAATAGAGCAACTACTAAAATTGGAAAAAGTGCACAGAAGATTTCCCAGATGGAAATAAGCATGCATGCAGTGTATATATCATGTGCACAGTAAATCCAATGCAACCAGAATGTGTCAGACTTACTATGTGTATGCTGCCCAGATGGCCTGCATAACAAACCAAAATTTGGATTCATTGCACAATTTGTCAAATTGATCTATATGTGCACAGTGTGCGTTTGTCTGGAACTTCCTGATGTCAGCATTCCTACCACTTAAGATCTTCCTGGCCTGACAGATGCTTGGAAATTCTGGAGAAAATTCTTCAGAGCACCTGGTAAAAATTTTGAAGACGAGTGAAAAACTTAACCTGTTTTTGTGGAGACGTGGTTGACCTCAAGTTTGTGTGTATTGCTGGATCAGAGTGAATGTGCTCAATACATCTGGATTTTGTCTAGGGAGCATAGGGGAATTATATTGTAACTTTGCAGTTAATTTGAGAGTAGAGAAGAAATGTGAAGTTAGTGGTATTATTAGTAAGAACACCAGAAAAAAAAGTTAAATAGGATATTGAAATATTTGCACAGCTGATAGTGTTTCTTTTACTCTTTTTCAGACAAGGTGGAAGCCTACAAGTTTTATGTAATAATTTCTGTGCAACTTCACTGTTTTCTGATACTACAGTAGGAAGGAACAAACTAATATAATTTTGTTTTGTCTACTAATAATTTTGATTGGACCATTTATCTATTATTTTTCTGTTAAAGCCTTCCTTACCCTACCGAAATATGTATGCTAATATTCATTACAGGGATTTGTAGGTTCATTACAGTTCTTTGTAGATGACATCTGTAAATATATATTGCTTATATTTATAAGTTGTAGAAATGTTTGATTGCACAGATAATATTTTTTATTTCTTTTTTCTAGAAAAGACCTTTCAGAATCTCAGAATACATGCAGAGATTTGGAAGGAAGGCTAAAACACCAGAAGTCACTTGTTTCAGCCACAAATTCTATCCGGGTTGGTGGTCTGTGTCTGAAATGTGCGCAACACGAGGCAGTTCTTGCACAGACTCATTCTAATGTTCACATGCAGACCATTGAGAGGGTGACAAAGTATGTTGGGGGAGTATTTACTTTCTTGTTGAAAGTACAGTTGCTTACATTAAACCATATAAGTGTCAATATGTTGGGTTGCATTCATGGAGAGATGTGCACTTTTGGAACAATGGACTCCCAAGTTGTAGTTATAATTCTAAAATCAATAGCAGAATAGGAGTGTAGGTCCCAGCCACTTTGAAGTCCATGGTAGTTTTGCTCCTTATTTCAACTGGGAAAGAATGTTAATCATTATCTTGTAATTATGATACCTTGGGCTGTCCAGATAATCAGACTGTTGATAGTCTTTTTCCTGCGCTTTTTGTACAAACAAACCCTTCACTCTGCCAAAACAGATATTGTAGAAGACTGTGTATTTTGATTATTTCCTGAAAAAGTTCCATATCTTTCTGCAGTTTGAAGTCTTTCTAGCTCCACTAGAACTTTGGGGAACTTTTAGGATACATCAGCAGTGTAATACATTTTTTTTTCCCCTTGAATTTGCTTAGTAGGACGGGTGTTTGGGATAGGATGCATTGCTCCTCCCTAACTACAATAAGTCAGGGGAAAAAAATTCCTTTGGATGAAAATTCTTTGCTGCAGGCTTTTTTAAAATGTAGCTTTTATTTAAATTATTTTTAAAAACCAGCTATACAGGCTGAATATAATATATATAATTCAGAAATCCCAACAGCATTAAAATGTTTTTTTCTTAAGAAATTATGCTGGTCAATCATCTTCAAAAATCTCTCCCTTTCTACTTGCTAGTAATAATGATAGGATACTGCAGCTTTCTCCAAGTTTATTAAGCAGACACCTACTTATTGTCAGTTATCTGAAACTTCTTAGGATTTCTGAAGTTTTAGAATGAGTCTTCTGGACATGAGTTCGTGGGTTGATTAGAAGCAAGAAGTTAGAAGGGACGTAGTACATACAGTCTGTCAAATGGATATTATCTCTATGCATTAGATGGCTGTTTCCAGGATTTATAGATTTTTCTATTGTCAAATCCAAGAGTTCTCTGGGAAAGCTCTCTGTTGCTGAAAAGTCATGTGTCAAAAGTATTTTCATAAGAAAATTACTTATTTGTAATAATAAATAACAAGCTGTAAATCAGTACATTTTTGTCATCTCGTATTATAGTGCAGTTTGAAAAAAAAATGAGATGACCTATTTATCTTTCTTAAACTATTATTTCAGTTGGAGTTTTAACAAAATGTGAAAGCTACATCTTCCTGTGATGCAGCTTATGGAAACAAAAATATTTCAGTAGGGATTTTCAAAGGGACTTTGTCCAAATCTTGTTGAAACAGAAATTCAAAACATGACTTAGTTCTCTGGCAAATACAACTGTGTTACCATTCCACACAACATGAAAAAAAAAAAAAAAAAAAAAAAAAAAATTTCAGCCAGAATCTCTAATTGCACCTGAAATACAGACAATTATATTCTTAATTTAAAAGCTTTCAACACATCAAAATAATTAAAAGGTGAAGTTAAATATTACAGTTTTACCAACTGTGCTTCATCATTTGGTATAGATCTCAGTTTCTTAACAAAAGTTCAGAGGGGATGTAGAATTCAGAAGTTTTACTGTTTAGTTCCAGTTTGCAGCAAAGAGCTATTGATTTTCATTTTGTATACTTTGTGATTTGAATTACTTGAATTTGAACCTAATCCTTCCTTTTATGTTTTGCTCCCTATTTTACATTTAATGACACCATGGTTTCATATCGTTTTAATCTTTTCTTCCATGAAAAAACATGGCTTTTTTGTTGTTTGTTTGGTTGGTTGCTTGGTTTTTAGCATGGATCCCCATTTAGTAATGCCAACAGAATATTGCTCAGCTTCAATATATTTGTAACTTGAGCTCTGCTGTCATTACTGGCAGTTTCCCTAATGATCCATCCTTCTCAAGTGAAGGACTGGTCATCAAGCAAATGATATTTTTAATATCTACCAAGCTAGCAGTATGCTGTTTTTCAATCCATTCTGGTTTTAGTCTTGCTTCACTTACCACCCTTATGTCTTTTATCTGTTAACATTTTATATTTGATATACCTGTTGGTTTGGGTTTTTTTCTCTTGAGAAAAGATGTAGAAAAAATATCTGGTTTTATCTTTATATGCAGAGAAAGAGATGACTTGATGGATGCACTTGTTTCGCTGAGACAAAACATGAAAGAGATGCATCAAAGAGAATCTAATGCTTGTGAGCAAGTTAAACAAGCTGTACAAATGGCAGAAGAGGCCAATTTAGAAAAAACACAGGTAAATTCATCAAGAAACGAGAACTTTTCAGTATTCAGATCTACTTCAAATGTTAATTAGTTTTCATAAGTTCTTTATCACATATTTACATGGTGTTGTGGATTGAAAAGGATTGCTCTGTGCGACATTCTGTGCAGTAACATGAACTCCCTGTATTTGAGTTCTTAAATTCTCATCAAGGCTGTAGGATGAGTTGCATTCTTAGGCCATCATTTACATTCTGATGTACTTTCACAGCTAGGTGATAGAAATTGAATGGTAGAATTTTCAAAGGCATTTATGATATGGAGGATATTTTTCATATCACATTTCTGAGCTACTCTGGAGAGAATACTTAAAATGCTTACCAACAACTCTTTTGCCTCAGATGAGTTCAGTGCAAGAACTGATTAGCTAACAGAACTCTTTGAAGATGAGAGTTCTGCCTGATGCTACCTACAGGAAGCTTTTGGTGCTATATAAATAATGATAAAACCAGTTTTGATCTAATGCTTGTGTTAACCCTAGCTACTGTGTACAGTCAACCGATATTGACCTAAATTATTTCCTTGATATTTAGTGACATCTACTGTGTTATTAGTGAATTACTATGGAATTGAGAGAGGTTTGTTTTGTTGAAATGCTGTTGTTTTAACTAGTGGACAAGATCAATGTAATTGTTTTATTGATCAAATTGGTATTATTCATCCAGTGCTGTAAGGGGGGGGG